ATTTTGGGAGTCGGAATGGCAGTAGCATCACAGGGCTGAAAAAAGGGAAAAACAGCCCTTTATCCCCAGGAAAGAAAGTCTCCTATATTTTTATTTCTATTGCAGTTGGTGGGGTAGCCAGAGCACTCTGTGGGCAGGAAGAGCTTTCTTGTGTGGCATCTTTTGTCTGGAGGAATCTTCATTTCTCTTCCAGTTTGGTGAGGTGGGACAGGCACTTGAAGCGCAGAGCGGAAAAAAAGGAACAGCAACTCCTTCTCCCAGTACAAAAAGTGTGTAAGATTTGGCTTTCAGGTGCAGTTGCTGGGGCACCCTGGGCACTCTGTGGGCAGCAAGCGCTTTCTTGTGTGGCACCTTTTGTCTGGGAGGAATCTTCATTTCTTTTCCATTTTGGGGAGCTGAGACAGGCACTTGAAGTGAAGGGCTGAAAAAAGGGAAAAACAGCCCTTATCCCCAGGAAAGAAAGCCTGTGAGCTTTGGCTTTCTAGTAGAGTTGGTAAGACAGCCTGGGTACTCTGTGGGCAGCAAGAGCTTTCTTGAGTTGCACCTTTTGTCTGAGATTAATCTTCATTTCTCTTCCATTTTGGGGAGGTGGGACAGGCACTTGAAGCACAGAGCGGAAAAAATGGGAACAGCAGCTCCTTCCCCCAGTACAAAAAGCGTGTAAGGTTTGGCTTTCAGTCTCAGTTTATAGGGCATTCTGGGCACTCTGTGGGCAGTAAGAGCTTTCTTGTGTGGCACCTTTTGTCTGGGAGGAATCATGGTGGATCTGAAATTTTCGGAGTCGGAATGGCAGTAGCATTACTGGGTTGAAAAAAGGAAAAAACCGCCCTTATCTCCATGAAAGAAAGTCTCCTACATTTGCCTTTGTGATGCAGTTGATAGGGCAGCCTGGGCACTCTGTGGGCAGCAAGAGCTTTCTTGTGTGGCACCTTTTATCTGGGAGGAATCTTGGTCCATCTGGAATTTGGGGAATCAGAATGGCAGTAGCATCACAGGGCTGAAAAAACCTATGAGCATCCTTTATCCTTAGGAAAGAAAGTTACCTATATTTGTATTTCTAATGCAGTTTGTGGGGTAGCCGGATCACTGTGTGTGCAGTAAGAGCTTTCTTGTGTGGCACCTTTTGTCTGGGAGGAATCTTCATTTCTCTTCCATTTTGGGGAGCTGAGACAGGCACTTGAAGCGCAGGGTTGAAAAAAGGGAAAAACAGCCCTTATCCCCAGGAAAGAAAGCCTGTGAGNCAGCCTGGGCATTCCACATCCAACAAGAGTTTTCTGTGGTGGCACCTTTTGTCTGGAGGAATCTTCATTTCTCTTCCATTTTGGGGAGGTGGGACCGGCACTTGAACTGCAGAGCGATAAAAATGGAACAGCAGCTCCTTCCCCCAGTACAAAAAGCGTGTAAGGTTTGGCTTTCAGGTGCAGTTGTTGGGGCACCCTGGGCACTCTGTGGGCAGCAAGAGCTCTCTTGTCGGGCACCTTTTGTCTGGGAGGAATCTTGGTGGATCTGAAATTTTGGGAGTCGGAATGGCAGTAGCATCACAGGGCTGAAAAAAGGGAAAACCAGCCTTTTCCCCAGGAAAGAAAGTCTCCTATATTTGTACTTCTATTGCAGTTGGTGGGGTAGCCAGAGCACTCTGTGGGCAGGAAGAGCTTTCTTGTCTGGCACCTTTTGTCTGGGAGGAATCTTCATTTCTCTTCCATTTTGGAGAGCTGAGACAGGCACTTGAAGCGGAAGGGCTGAAAAAAGGGAAAAATAGCCCTTATCCCAAGGAAAGAAAGCCTGTGAGCTTTGGCTTTCAGGTGCAGTTGGTGGAGGAGCCTGAGGACTCTGTGGGCAGCAAGAGCTTTCTTGAGTGGCATCTTTTGTCTGGAGGAATCTTCATTTCTCTTCCAGTTTGTGGAGGTGGGACCGGCACTTGAAGCGCAGAGCGGAAAAAAAGGGAACAGCAGGTCCTTCCCCCAGTACAAAAAGTGTGTAAGATTTGGTTTTCAGGTGCAGTTGCTGGGGCACCCTGGGCACTCTGTGGGCAGCAAGAGCTTTTTTGTGTGGCATCTTTTGTCTGGAGGAATCTTCATTTCTCTTCCATTTTGTTAGGTGGGACAGGCACTTGAAGTGCAGCGCTGAAAAAAGGGAACAGCAGCACTTATCCCCCAGGAAAGAAAGCCTGTGAGCTTTGGCTTTCTAGTAGAGTTGGTAAGTCAGCCTGGGCACTGTGTGGGCAGCAAGAGTTTTCTTGTGTGGCACCTTTTGTCTGGGAGGAATCTTCATTTCTCTTCCATTTCGGGGAACTGAGACAGACACTTGAAGCGCAGGGCTGAAAAAAGGGAAAAGCAGCCCTTATCCCCAGGAAAGAAAGCCTGTGAGCTTTGGCTTTCAGGTGCAGTTGGTGGAGGAGCCTGGGCACTCTGTGGGCAG